GACCGGCCCATCCCCCACCGGAGACAGGCAGGCAGGGCGGCCAGAGCCCATCGGCCCCAGAGAGGCATCCTATACCAAACTGTAAGCAGACTTCGTCGATAACCAAGACTCCTTGGGATTATGGACAATCGGCATCCATCGGGAGGGTCACAGCCAGAGACCAGCTCCCCAGAATAGACACCTAAGAAGGCGCGCCCGTTGTGCACCCAGAAAGCCGAGTGGCTGGGATGGGGGAGGGGGTAAGCCACAGCCTCCAACTGGGGGCGACTCCCCGCGCCAAGCCCTTGGTCACCTGAGCTGCTCGGACCTGGGACGGGCACAAAACACAGGCCCAACCGAGTCTGCGCCTTTGTGGAGTACCAGAGAACCCGAACCTGAGCGGCTTAGGCCTGGGAAGTGCATGCAAACCGGGGCCTGCATCAGACAGTTCCTGGCAGAGCAACCTAGAGTCTGAGCAGTGTAGACTGGGAAAACACAACACGCGGAGAGCGGGGGCAAATCCAGTGTGGCTGAATCACTGTGAGCGCTCCCCACACTCGCCAGTGAGATTTGTTGGCAATGTTCCTCCCTCCCCAAATCTTCCTGGTGGCTCAGACGGTAAAGCATCTGCCTACAGTGCAGGAGATCCGGGTTCAATCCCTGGGTTGGGAAGACCAGGAGGTCTTGGTCTTGCCAGGAGGAATGGCAACCCACTCCACTATTCTTGCCTGGAAAATTCCATGGATGGAGGAGCCTGGTAGGCTACAGTCCATGGGGTCGCAAAGAGTCGGACATGACTGAGAGACTTCACTTTCCCTCCCCAAAGCAGGACTGAACAAGCGAGCCTAAAAAAAAAGTGACCACCACCGTGCCCCCTTGTGTCAGGGTGGAAATTAAACACTGAAGAGACCAGCAAACAAAGCTAAAATAAACAGAGGGAGCCGCTTTGGAAGTGACAGGTGCAATAGATTAAAACCCTGTAGTTAGCACCAACTACATAGGAAGGGGCCTATAGACCTTGAGAAGTACAAGCCGGACCAAGGAACTATCTGAAAATGAACTGACCCCACACTGTCTGCAACAGCTCCAGAAGAAGTCTTAGATATATTTTTACTATTATCACTTTTTAAATTAAAAAAAATTTTTTTAATAAATTTTTTTATTTATAACTCCCCATTACTCCTTTAATTTCCATTTTTATAACCTACTATTACCTTGCAAAAAATAGGCCCTATTTTTAAAGCAAACTTCATATATATATATTTTATAATTTCTGTGACTTTTTCTTTTTTTTTTTTGCTTGTTTGTTTTTTGGGTTTTGTGTGTGTGTGTAATATTGTATTTTTGAGAATCTCACCCCTACTCAAGATTTTTCATCTTTGCTTTTTGGTATTTGTTATCAACTTTGTACCTTTAAGAACCCAACCTTCAGTACCCATTTTTACTTGGGAGAGAGATCACTGGCCTGCGTGCTCCCGCCCCCTTTGGACTCTCCTTTTTCTCCACCAGGTCGCCTCTATCTCCCCCCTTCTCCTTTTCTTCTCCACCCAACTCAGTGAATCTCTTTTTGTGTTCCGGGCTGTGGAGAACACTCAGGGAAGTGATTACTGGCTGGATCTGTTTCTCTCCTTTTGATTCCCCTTTTTATCCTCCTGGCCATCTCTGTCTCCTTCCTCCCTCTCCTCTTCTCTGTGTAACGCCGAAGCTCTTCAAGGACATGGAAAGTTCTAGAAAGTTCCCCGAGTTGGCAGCTTCCAGGATGGAGGGAAAGGGCCGCACGTAGGATGTCACTCAACCGTGCTAACCAGCCAGTTAGCCTCAGAGTTTCCACATGTGCAAAAGCCAAGAAAACTACACAGACACATCACTCCATTGTACTGTTCTCGAGTTGAAGGCCTATCTCGAAAAACAAAGAGAAAACATAAAACTTCCCACTAACAAGTGACGTGTTCAGATGTAGAAAATAGTAAGGTGGCCTTCCCTCTTCTGGTAGAAATCCAGTGGGTTTGAGGGGCAAGAGAGCTCGTCCCCAACTGGTGTCCAAGGTTGGGGGTGGGAGGCGCACAGACCCTTTTAGAGCTGTGTGTTTCTGTGTCTGTGTGTGTGCGTGCATGTGAGAAGGTCCCCAAACTGTTAGAGGCTCCTCGTGCCTTATCAGCAGGGCTGTTTTCATTCAGGCACTTTATCAAGCAGCCTGTGCTTTTCCCACCACCCCCGGATGCTTCAAGGCCTCCATGTTGGCTGTGAAAAGGCGCCCATTGACCTGCCGTCAGCTCTGCTTCTCTGGCCGTGGACTCCTGGCTGCAGCAAGGTGTGGGGTGGGGCAGTGGCCCAGGCTCCCGAGAAACCCAGACGTCCCTCCCTGGGACCAGCCAATCACCTTAATGGGGCGGGCAGTGCAGGTGGGTGCATGATGGGAGAGGCAGAGGATGGGGGACCGTGATGGGAGGGGCCTGTGGGTTGTGGTCACTTCTCTACAATCCTTTACAATGGTGAGAAGATATTTCACTCTCATGGGACCTCACCCTCTTCTGCCGCCCACCTCCTCCCTCGTCTCCCCCATCCTGGCTGTGAACACAGGAAACACATGACACCTCAGGTCCTGCCTCCCTCCCTCCACAGCCTCACTGAACACTGGGACCCACTGGGACCTCCCGGACCGCAGAGTCTGGACAGCGCAGGTGGGCACAGGCTTGATCACCTTCTCAGGACACCTGGTTTCCCAGAGCACCCTGCGTCTGTTCTGAGAGGTCCACTCGATGTGCTGTCTGGGTGCCTGCTCTCAGCTGCCTCCACGGTCAGAATTCTTATGGATTTTGTGCTTCTTGGGGAGGACAGTGCAGCAGGAGCCAAGTGGAATCCTCTTTCCTGTCCGAGCATTGGGCTGGGCCATATGGGGGTGCCTCTTCAGGAGTCCCCCACTTTATCTTCCTCACACTGGTGAGCCCGAGAGGCTTGGTGTCCAGATGATAGAGCCTCGAGATCACACATCCATGCAGGTGGACACTAGAGGAGGTGGTCCAGCCATCGTGGCTCACAGATCTCAGATTTTTTCTGTGTAACATGGTGGGAGTGGGTGGGGGTGGTGGTTGAAGGCACTGGCCCTCCGTCCATGCACTTCTTCAGTGGGCAGGAGTCCAGAGAAACTGAAGGAAGCAGGAGACCCACCTGGCCTCCTATCACCTGGCCTCTGTTCCACAGTCTGGTGTATATTCCAGAAGGAAGGCACTTTCCTGCTGGAAACCCTGACTGCAGGAGTACTTAGGGTCAAGGACCCCCAATCTGTGCATCACGGCCCCCTGGAAAGTGGTGTCACCCACACGGTGCTATGCCTGGGGAAAGGAGGATTGTGTCCAGGTCATGTCCCAGGCCCCATTCTTGGCTTTCTCTTCATTACATCTTTGAAATTAGTAAAGCTTGGATTCAGGAGGCTCTCAAGAATCTGATGTGCCAGTCTGATCTGTGCGTCTGCTCACTTGGGCGAATTATTAAATGTTTCTCAGCTTACAAAACGGGGATGAAGATGAGAGTGAGATAACATTTGTAGTGGAGTTTGCTTTGAAAACTAAAGAAATACCGTTTACTTCACCTCACACGCACCTCCCTTTGCTCATGATCACTCCTGATTCTGAGCCTGAGGTTCCTTATGAGAGCCTGAGACAGGCGGATGGCTCAATGAAAAGTTACTGAAACACTAGATGAGCTGGAGAGAGTGGATTGCCCACATTCCTTTAATAGATGAAGAGCCCAGGCTGAAGGACTGGGTGAGGACATTTACCTTCGGTGAGAATTTGCCCCATCCATGGTATCTGGGATGAAGGCTCACTGCTTTAAGGTACAGGGAAGACACAGGCCTTGGTAAAACACTGACAAGGAAGAGAATACTCAAGAAGCATTGGTTTAATTCATAAGAATATTCAGATGTACTTAACATGAAGTCTGGGGATGGGTGGTGCTGGGGCCAAGTCAGCACTTCAGGGCTAACAAGTTTCCAGTGCTGTGGCTTTTCCTCATTATCACAGAATGGCTGCCTGAAGCATTGCATCACACCCTCATACCACAGAGCATCCAACGACAGGCTGCAAATTCGTTCCGGGCCGGTTGGGGGGGGTTTTTTTCCCCCCAGGGGTTAAGGCTTTTCCCCAGAGTCTTTAGGTAGGTGCCCCCTCTGCTTCATGGGCCAGAAAGGAGACCTGCTTCTAACTGACAGAACGGTTGGGAAAGTGAGTCTTTCCATCATTCTTTATAGGGTGGGGTCAGGGAAGAAAGAGGGAAATAATGGATGGTAGTCATGGGGAAATGGGCCTGCTGTGTCCTGGGAGAAAGCCCTTCTCTCAGGGGCTGGGGAATACGGGGAGAACAAGGAGCAGAAGGCAGACCGGCTGGGCTTCAAGAAGGCTCCGACGAGGTCCCAGACTGGCCCGTGGAAACCCAAAAGACTCCCTCACTCCACAGCTGTGGGTGCTTGGTCCACTTCCCATCATCCACCCAGCTCTAAAGAGGGGCAGGAAGGTGGGGGAGGGAGAGGAGCAGGAGACTGGCTACTCACCCCAGGGACCACAGTATTATCTACAGAAGGTGCATAATTTACCATCACACACCGCATTTCCAAAGGGGCCAACTGCGTAGTTGGTTTTCACCTCTCGCTAGCAGGCAAAGATGTTGAAAAAGATCAGAGATGCTACAGATTAAAGAGAAAACAAGCCCACATGTTTCTGCATGTTCTCCAGTGAAGGAAGGCTACAGCAATCCTCACGGCACGTGTGCTAGTGCAGGTACACGTCTGCTGCTGTGTGTGTGTGTCGGGGGCCCCACCTTGGCTGTTTCACGAGTGCAGTGTATCTCCTGGCGCCTGGAACATCTGCGCATGCTTGCCCTGGTGGCCCGGGCTGAGGGTGGGTGACAGATCTTCTGGTAAATTTGGAAACAACTGGTCACACCAAAAGCACTGTCCCCTACTTCCTGGGAACCAGCTGGCTCTGGAGGGCCAGAGTGCTCCCAGGGCTCCAGGGACGCCAGGGTCAAGCACCTGGGAGGGGAGGAGGTGTCCAGCCAGCGGGGCTGGCTGGGCTGAGCTCCCTGGAGCAGGGCTGAATGCCCAGGGTGGATGGGAGGTGGGGGGTGTTTTTCTTGTTCCCACTGAGCAAGTAGGGTTCGGGGCCGGCACTGCCCACCTGGGTGGGCGCATCTACTCAGGTCCAGGCAGGTCCGATTGGCTCCCTTCCGTCTTCCTTGTGTCCGTGACAAGGGGTCACTGGGGGCTCTCGACTCTTCCTTTTTGTCCTATTTTCCAATTTGGATTTCAAGGTTGGGGAGCCAGGTGTGTGTGGGAGTTTCCTCAAGGGGTCAACTCATGCTGTCCTCTGCAATTGTTTTTATTATGAGCATGTTCAGACTCTTTGCTGTGGGTTTTATCTCCTAAGTCAGTTTCCCTGTGAGGGAAGTGAAGAAATTGCAAGGCAATTTTTGTTACCACAATAAATATGTAAAGAATGTGATAGAATTGGAGCCTGTTTTCATGATTTGACAAGGGCATGGGCTCACGTTGATTCTCTGAGGCTTTTTAACCTGATGGCCTGGTGCACGGGACCCCGATGGCTGACATCCACCAAGACAACCTAACAATGTTACGAGTCACGGTCTCATCTGGCCCAAGATAGCCTGAGTTAATGTGTAATCCACGGCGAGAACCCAGAGGCACAAGTGTCGCATTTCTCTTTCAAAGAAGGGAAAATTGTTTACATTTTTATAAGAAGTGCAAGCAGAGAGGAACATTCATGTCATTTAATTTTTAGGCTAATTTGGAATACAAAGAATCTGAGCAGTCAATCCAGGCGGGGAGTTCAGGTTCATAGGACCCCAAGACATCCGGCCAGTGATGGAGCTGAGCCCCTGGTACCAGGCAGATGTTCTTCTCAGCCCAATGCCATTTCCACCAGAAAAGTGTCTAAAACTCGCACTCTGCAAGGGTGAAGTGTCCGAGAGAAGAGATGCATTCGTGAGAATAAGTATTTTCTTTCACTTTTAAATAATCACAGAGAATTTACTTAAAAACCTCACTGGGAAAATTCTTTGGAAAACAAGGATGGTCTTTGTACTGTAATTGTCATTATTTCCAAGCCCCCAACCCCAAGTGAGCAATGAAGCATGACCAAGGACAACTCTTCACAGATCCATGGTTCAACATGTGAAGAAAAGCCAGGAAAAATAGGGTGCCCCACCAAACAGGTCTTCCAGCTCTTTCCATCCCCCAGCCCTGGATTCACACTGACTTAGGCAAAACTACATCTTCCTAGTCACCCCGAGGCCATGACTCTGGGTAAAGACACAGCTGGCAACTTGAATTAGGGCCCCATGGTCCCGTGTATTCAGACTCTGTGGGGTTGACAGGCCCTACCTTCCTCCAGGGGCACAGGATGGAAGCACCACGGGACTCCACGGACTGTGCTATCAAAGCAGCAGCCATTTTCTTCACAGTCGTTCGCCGTGATGCCGGAGTAACCGCAATTCTTTCTTTGATGGGGTTCCACCTGACACGTCTCTGAAAGGATATGGGCCAGGAGGTGAAAGTAAGTCATGAGCTGATGCCTTCCCTGTTATGACCCACCCTCCACTTGGCCTCCTTCCCCAGTTAAATCAGCCATCAGACAAGCAGCCCATGGAGACCCAGCTCACTTACTGGCGCGGAACACTGAAACTCGGGAAAAATGCAAGGTGTCCAGGATTCATAGACTTTGCACCTACCCAGGCAATGTACCCATTTGCTCATTAATGTCAATGAACAATTATTAAACTTTAGTCACTAGATGAGTAAATATCTGTTGAGCACTGTTTGTGGGTGCTAGAAACTGGAGCTAGCACGGGACACAGACAGGAATTTTTTTATCCCCTCAAAGATCAAGTTCACGCCAGGCCCTGTGCTGGGTAACAGGGACCCAGAAATTGAAAACAGAGAAGCTGTTGTTGAGAAGCTGACAGTCTGATGGAGGAGGAAGCCAAGTAAACAGACAAAATAGCATAGTGCAGCCAGCCACAAGGCAAGCCCAGCAGGGGTGATTGATTACAGACTGATGACAGTGAAGAAGGCTTCCTGTTGGAGGAGGTTGACCAGGTAAGACCAAGGCAATGGGTGTTCCAAGGAGAGAGAGAGCAGAGTGTTCAAAGGTGGCGAAGAGAGAGAGCAAGGTGTGTTCCAGGTAAGAGGGGCAGGCGGGTGGGGCGGTGCAGGGAAGGCAGGCTGAGGGCCGGGAGTGGATGATTGCAGCTCTAGAGCTCTGGAGCAAAGAAGCAGCTATCCTCAGAAGCTCTAGCCAGGTACGTGAGGCCATTGAGCCAAGGCAAAGAACATGCAGGGCAGATGGGCAGCTAGAAGTGCCCATGTGATCTAGATGCAAGGCCTGTGGGGTCAGGACTTGGGGCTCTGAGAAGGAGCGCCGCTCGGATCTGGTGGTGGACCGACTGATGCAGGGGCAGAAGAGTCTGAAGCCCCTTCTGTCTCTTGGGGGTGGGAATGGAGAATGGGGGGCTCCTCTATGCACCTGGTCTCGGGGTGCCCATGGATGAGGGCCATCAGCCAGGTTCCAGAGAGAGGCCTGGCTGTGCACTCCACTCCCAGACAACAGTCTGTCCCTGGAGCTAGAGGGACGTGCAACGAGGCGTTAGGAGTGTGTGTGATAAAGAGACGGGAAGGGAAGGAGCCCTGACAGGAGAGGGAAGAGATTCAGAGAGGAGGGCAGGACCAAGAGCAGATGTTGTCGTGGACTGGCTTTGAGCTAGGGCATCGCGCTCGTTCTAAAAGACAATCCAGTTAAAGACAGGTAGATGCAGGGCTTCCCCTAGACTGAGGGGTAGGAGGCCACATTTGTCCCCCACGGAGTCCAGCTGAGTGTCCTAGATCAGAGCCCATCACACAACCTGATCTTTGTAGGGCTTCTGTCTTGACATAGAGCAAATGTGGTTATCACCCACTCCACTAGGCAAGGCGGTGGGAAAGGGGTATGTATGCTTGCAGAGCTGGGACCACAGTTCTCATGTCCTTTCTCTCCCTAGAGGAGGGGGAGGGGGCTACTTGGCTGGNAGAGCTAGGCGCTAGGCTGGCAGGGAAGATGCAGATGGGCTGGTGGGTGCAGACGGCCAGGCACAGACCACCTCCTCCATCCCCACAGCAGGTCATACCTCCTTTCAGGTCCAGCCTGCTCCCTCCTCCTTACCTTAGACTGTGAGGCCCCCTCCCCTGAACGCCCACACCTGATCCTTTGTTCCTGAGTCGTGATGTCCTTGGAAGGAGCCCAGAGACACATGGGAACTGTCCTTTACGTCCCTTCAAACCTCTATGGGAATCCTCATTTCAAAAATTTTGAAATATTCTTCTCCTGCCCCCTCCGTTTAAAAATATATCTACCAGTAATAAATAATGTTTATATGGCACTTTGTAGCTTTTCCCAAATACCACTTAATTTTGTGACAACCTTCTAAAGCTGAAGACTGAACCCATTGTGCAGAGAAAAGATTTGAGACAGACACATTAAGAGGAGGCAGTGGGACCTCCCGCCTTCAGACCCTCACTTGGTGATGCCCATGGACTAGGCACTGACAGGACACACAGACCAGTGGGACAGGGTCTGGGTTCCAAGGAGCATGGGGCCCAGGAGCCCACGGCACCTGTCGGAGGGGTTCCCAGGGGCAGTGACCCTCGGAACAGGCTCTTGGATGTTTGTGTGGGACCGTGAGTGGGTCCAGCCCCAGGGGGCAGAGTTTGGCTTGGACATTTGGAAGAGCTGTTCTTATTCCTGACCTTAAAGACAGCTCTTTGAAATGTGATACTTAAAGAGCAGTAGGATGTTCTAGCAGCGGTTCTGAAGACAGGGCTTTCCTGGTGGCTCAGTGGTAAAGAATTCACCTGCCAATGCGGGAGATGCCAGTTCAATGGTTAGATGGTGTCACCGACTCAATGGACATAAATTTGAGCAAACCTCAGGAGGTCTTCCCTGTAGCTCAAATGGTCAAGAATCTGCCTTCAATACAGGAGACCCGGGGTCAGTCTCTGGGTTGGGAAGATCCTCTGGAGAAGGGAATGGCAGTCCACTCCAGTATTTCTGCCTGGAGAGTCCCATTGACAGTGGAGCCTGGCAGACTACAGTCCGTGGTATCGCAGAGAGTCAGACACGACTGAGTGACTAACACTGCTGCTACAGGAAACAGTGGAGGACAGAGGAGCCTGGCGTGCTGCAGTCCATGGGGTCGCAAGAAGCTGGATAAGACTGAGCGACTGAACAACTGAAGACAGTCATCATTACTTTCTTACCGCAGTTCCCAACGCTTCCACGGACCCCTCTACCCTCCCGCTGTCCTCTGTGCATTCAACCATCCAAAATCTCTCCAGGGCCTAGAACAGCTCCTGGCACAAAACAGCACTTGGCTCAAAAGTATGTTATGGAGCCCTGACTCCCCCCAGAGGTGGGCCTCTGCCCAGGGTGCCCATTGAGGAGAAGCAAGGGGCTGTCTTACCAGTCTCACTCTGCGCCAGGCTGCCGAGGGCCAGCGCAAAAACCAGCACCGCCACGTAGATCACCTTGGGCTCCATAGCGGCCGTGACCTTCCTGCTCTTTCCAGAGGGGCCCGCGATCCAGGATGAGAGTGGGTCCTGGCCCTTGATCTTATACCGTAGGCTCTGTTTGCTTTCTACAGAGGGCCAGATAACGTTTGCCTAAGGAGGGCCCCGAAACCTTTCATTCCAAGTAATCGCCACTGATTAGAAGGTGTTTCCCAAACGCGGCCAAGCCAAACTGACAGGTTTGCTGATAGAGAAAAATGCCTTATCTTGCGGTCATCGTGGTTGAAGGATTGGAGATTCAGAAAGTTCCTCTCTTATCCTGTGGGAGTCTCCCTGGTCATGACCTCTTCCAGCGCATGAGCTGTTCAGAGACCCTCCTGCTAAGCAAACAACATACTCACTGGAGGGTGATTCAGAGAGAGACGCCCACACCACACCGGGGACAGGGTTAGCAGTGGCCATGGGCTTCCCCCATGGTGGTCCTACTAAGCCAACAGCACACTCATTTGAGGGTGATTCGTAGTGAGAGATGCCCATGCGATGCCAGGCACAGGGTCAGCAGTGGCCATGGGCTGGTGGTCCTACTAAGTCAACAGCACACTCATTTGAGGGTGATTCATAGTGAGAGATGCCCATGCGATGCCAGGCACAGGGTCAGCAGTGGCCATGGGCTTACCCCACGGTGGTTCAGGGAAGGACAGGGGATAGGTGAGGCCCGCCGGCCTGGTGTGGTCCTTTCCAAGTGGGTGTGCAGCTGTTTTCAACGATTTTTAGGATTCACGTCTCATGGAACAGCTGTGCCCGGACAAGAAGAGCAGAAAATACTAGGACCTGGACTTCAAACTTCTTTTCCCCATTTGTTTGTCCTGTCAGGCTCTCCTCCTGGGAAACTGGTGCATGCGCAAAGCGCCCATAGGCTCTTTGACCCGGCCTTGTCCTGAGGGGCCCCTTCCTGCTGGCATCCACATTGAAAATCACATATGTTCAACCTCCTACTTACACTGTGGCATTGTAGCAGCATTTTCACTTATTTATCTTAATTAATTAAGGATAAATTACCTTATTTTTCTTAAAAATTATTTAAGATGATTTATCTTAAAAATCGGGCTTCTCTGGTGGCTCAGTGGTAAAGAATATGCCTGCCAATGCAGGAGACGCAAGTTCGATCCCTCCTTGGGTTGGGAAGATGCCCTGGAGAGAGAAATGGAAACCCACTCCAGTATTCTTGCCTGGGAAATCCCGTGCACAGAGGAGCCTGGCAGGCTACAGTCCATGGGGTCGCCAAAGTTGGACAGGACTTAGAGACTAAGCAGCAACGCATCTTAAAAACTAGTTAATAAATTTTTTTGCTTCATTCTTTCCTTTATAATGGAGTCCTTTTCACAGTGAGGTCGTGTGTACAAGAGCTGACGTGACACTGATGACGTATCGGGTGCTCCCTTCAGCAGGAGACCCGCATCTGGGAGGGGCGCCCTTGCTCGGGTCCTCCAGGTGCGGCCTCCTGGACTCCGCACCCAAAGGGTCTCCTCTAGCCCCGTGTCCCCGCTCCCTCCCCAGCTCTGGCCCTTCCTGCCCTGCAGCTCTCACTACCTTCTACGGGACACAGTGATTTGCTTGCGCCCTGGGCTTGTTATTTATCGACCCTCTGCCAGCCCTCCAGCGGAGCAGAAGGTCCATGACACGGGGGGCTTCACCTACTGGGTGAGCTCAGGTGGACCCAGCACCTGGGGTGCCTTATTCAATAAATATCTGTTGAAGAATGAATGAATGAATATAGGGGAAATGTTTTCTCTCCATTGAAAGATTAAGCTCTGGGAAAACAGTCAAGCTTTGGAGTGAGACTGATTTTTCTTGGATGACCTGTTAAGTTTGCCTTGGGGGTCCCTCTGGGAGGGGAGTGGAGTCAGAACCGGGGCAGCCACATTCTGAATCAGGCTCACCCCCAGCCCAACACCGTGGCTCCACCTGCCAATCCCAAGACAGGGTCTCCAGGAGAGGCGCAATGTGCAGGATTCATGGATGCTTGTTCCTCACTCCTTGTGCGTGTATGACTTTGACCTCGTGTAGGTGGCACGGCTGGCAGAGCCCATGTCACTCTCAGGCCGTCCCAGACTTGCAGCAACGACTCCAAGACTCCTAGAAGACAAGGCTAACATAAGATCACAGAATCATAGGATAATTTATGGTTCTATTTTTTTTTTAATGACCACTTTTTGAAGAAGGCAATGTACTGAATTGAGTGTTGGTCCGCTAAGGGGTTTTGTCATCTTGTATAAATAGTTTAAGTCCTCTTGGGTTTCACTTTTCTTACTGGAAAATAAAGTGGATGGACCCCAAGGAAGCTGGTGCTTGATCTAACCTGCCATCCTCTTGTGCTAGGGTTCTGGGGTGGAGGATGCCCCTGGTTTTGCATGCCCAGCAGACCTTCCTGCTTTGGGGATAAAGTTCTCCATCTCTGGGCCCCCTCCCCCATCCCCACTGCCCGTGGTGTGACTTGGCCTGACTTGTCCCATCCCCTCACCCTGTCTCCCCCATCCCAGAGCCACACTGGTTCTGCTCAAGGGCCACTGTCTGAGTTGGGAGAGCTGGGTGTCCTCTGTCTGCTCATCCCATCAGCTCTCTGAGCCCTTGGGGGGTGGCGCTGCATTGGCTGTGTCCTGCCCTCATGTCCTCTGGCTTCTGGCCACTGTGGTGGAGCCAGCAGGACACGGGTCCTTGGGAGAAAGTCAGCAGAGTCACTCTGGATGGGCCGTGATCCCAAGTCCACCTACAGCCCCAGTAGGCAGTGTTCTCCACGCAGTGGTCTTCTCCAGCCCCCCAAAACTGATCCCTCTCCTCAGTCCTCTGGCGAAGGGGTTCACAAACCCCAAAGAGAGGTCAGCACTGTCCATCTAATTTTCCTTTAATTTCCTGCATTGGGAGTGACAGGCCAGCTTATTGATACAGAAATTGCTACCAACAGTGACCCTCTTTCTTGGGTCTGAAATTGAGACCCAAGTTTGGCTCCCCGGACAGGTCTCTGTGCACAGGTCACAAACCTATCAAAGATGCTGGGGAGTGAAGGTAAGGCAGGGGACCTGAGGGGAGCATGAGTGGGGGGCACATCTCATTTCCCTGGTAACAGTCAAGTGGTAAAGATGGGGGCCAGTTGGTTTCTTCCAAGAGCTACACAACATTCAAGAAGGAATGAAGAAATGGAGGACTGAGAGTGTCCTCCTGGGAAGAGCTTTCCTGCCTAAGCCCCCAGAGTGGCAGGGCAGTGAGGGTGGGGCTCAGGTCCAGCCCAGATCCTGGGTTTGCAGCACCAATTAGATGTCCATCATTTCCCGCTTCCTTACACCAAAGCCTTGANCAGGGCAGTGAGGGTGGGGCTCAGGTCCAGCCCAGATCCTGGGTTTGCAGCACCAATTAGATGTCCATCATTTCCCGCTTCCTTACACCAAAGCCTTGATACTGGAGAGCAAAGAGTCAAACTCTAAACAGGGGATTGGGATGCTTGGGCAGAAAGATGAGAATGACAATTTGGGATCCTGAGCAAACGCCCTGACCCTTTGCCCCAGCAGAGGTGTTCCTCCTACCCCCGTCTGAGACCGAGCATCTTTCCTCTCCATAAACACTTCCACTGACCATTGCCCCCACCCCCATCCCCAGCTCACATGGGATGCAGCCACAGGATGGGATCATCTCCACATCTCTGCATCACTTCCAGGTGCATGAGGTTGTGATGCCTCATAGCTCAGACAGAGGCACAGCCTGTGTCCAGGTAAGTTGCAGAGTGGCATCAGCAGGACTCTGGAAGGATAGCATGTGAGTTGTTGGGCCATAGAGGATGAGGTGCCACTCTCAGAGGACTGGCATCATAACACTCCCCAAGATTTGGGAGAGATGTGCTGACCAAGCACACGAGAGGCCGTGACTATCCTTAGTTCAGTTCAGTCACTCAGTTGTGTCCGACTCTTTGCAACCCATGGACGGCACCACACCAGGCTTCCCTGTCCATCACCAACTCCTGGAGTTCGCTCAAACTCATGTCCATCGAGTTGATGATGTCATCCAGCCATCTCATCCTCTGTCATCCCCTTCTCCTTCTGCCTTCAATCTTTCCCAGCATCAGGGTCTTTTCCAGTGAATCAGCTCTTTGCATCGCGTGGCCAAAGTATTGGAGTTTCAGCTTCAACATCAGTCCTTCCAATGAATATTCAGGATTGATTTCCTTTAGAATTGACTGGTTGGATCTTCCTGCTGCCCAAGGAACTCTCAAAAGTCTTCTTCAGCACCACAATTGGAAAGCATCAATTGTTCAGTGCTCAGCTTTCTTTATAATCCAACTCTCACATCCATACATGACCACTGAAAAAACCATAGCCTTGACTAGACAGACCTTTGTCAGCAAAGTAATGTCTCTTCTTTTTAACATGCTGTCTAGGTTGGTCATAGCTTTTCTTCCAAGGAGCAAGTGTATTTTAATTTCATGGCTGCAGTCACCATCTGCAGTGATTTTGGAGCCCAAGAAAATAAGGTCTCTCACTGTTTCCATTGTTTCCCCATCTATTTGCCATGAAATGATGGAACTGGATTCCATGATCTTCATATTTTGAAGGTTGAGTTTTAAGCCAACTATTTCACTTTCATCAAGAAGCTCTTTCATTCTTCTTCACTTTCTGCCATAAGGGTGGTGTTATCTGCATATCTGAGGTCACTGATATTTCTCTCAGCAATCTTGATTCCAGTTTGTGCTTCATCCAGCCTGGCATTTCTCATGGTGCACTCTGCATATTAGTCAAACAAGCAGGGTGACAATATACAGCCTTGATGTACTCCTTTCCCAATTTGGAAACAGTCTGTAACCATCCTGCTAGTGGTTAACCAAGTCCTGGGTCGAAAGTGGCCAAGAATTCATGCAGCAGAAATATTGGAGTCCCACTCTCCTCCCCCCAAACATGGCAACCTCGCTACTCAAGGTGGTCTTGGGTTAGCAGAATCTCACCCTGGGATCTCAGCAGACATGCTCTCCCATCCCCCAGGCTTCA